TTAAACTTGTTGAAGGCAAATATTTTAAAAGGGAAACTAAGTATAGATCTTACTTAAAAAAACAAAAACAAAAACATAACCCAAAACCAACAAACCATCAATGTAAATCTTTCCCAACCTCTTTTAAAGAGATCTATCTGAGATTTTAATTCTACCAGAATGGTTACCAATTCTGAGATTGGCCTCATTGGTGTATTCAGAATACACCTAAGTATACAGTTTCAGAAATAAATTTTCAGAATTCAGAAATTTAATTGGGCTGAAAAGTTCCAATCATTCTTTTAAGATGAGAAACAGTGGTACAGCTAAGAAGGTGCTGAAGTGAGTCACTCTTAAAATTCCTTTAAACAGTTTACGTCCTCCTGTCTCTGTACATCCCAAATTGTTTTGCAGTTAGACCAAAAAAACTGGCTCTTCAAAGAGAAATTTTGCATTTTGCTGTGAAGAGTCGTTGGTAAAATGCATAAGCAGCATTGGAAGCGGATGTCCGATGAGAGTATCGTGGTGCCTTCTTGCCCCACTCCCCAAAGAAATGCCTGGCAGTTACTGGGATATAGAGTTGGACAACTTGCACCCTGTCCCTTTGCTCCAGGTCCTGTGCTCCTCCCTGCACTAGGACACAGCCCAACACTAAAAGGGCTTGTTGTCCTCACTATTCTGGTGTAAGATGGAGAGCCCTAGGAGGAACATCTCACCTAAAGTGGGAGATGGGGGTTCAAATTTTTGCCTTATGGACAAAGCCACAAAGCGATGCTTTTTCATGCTGGTGATTTACTGAGCTTTGTCAGAAAATGCTGGAAACGTGAAGGAAGCCAGGGCTTAAAATCTGCCCCTCTCTTCAGCACTTCGAACTGACTTCTTTGGACTTATCCCATGTGTGTGCTGGAATCTCATTTTAGTCATTTGCATTTTTATACTTGTTTAACATGTTATCAATTTTTAATGTTATAAACAGGCTCGCAAACTGTACCATTTGAAGCAGAGATCGATACTATAATGGAAATGGTCTAATTTATAAGTGTTATGGTCAAGTATACTAAGATTTAAACTAGTTAGTTCTGGGTAGAATAATTAAATCAGCTACAGCATAAAACAATGCTAGATGCTATTTCTAAAGCATTTCCTAAAAGACATATTTGGCACGTAGAGGATGTTTATTATCAAAAAGGGTCAATGCAATAATAGCAAATTAGCAAGATGCCTTATTAAAGTCTGCAAGGAAATGAGATGATTTCAGATATATTTCTCTCACTCTTCTGCTTATTTTTGTGGTTGTATGAGTTACAATGATTGGGATCTTACTGATAGCTCAGAGGAGACAGGTATAATTCAGTATTCACAGACACACATTGTAAGTGAGGTGTAAAACGTATCATAAGTTCTTTCCCATTGTAATGAAGATCCCATGTATCTTTGATTTTTATGAAATATTCACAATAGTATTGTACATCGACCGGCAAGACAATCAAATCTCAATTATTCACACGTTAATATTATTCTCACCCTTTGTATTTCTGCAGCACGTTTTCCTGACTGCTCATTTGCATATGAGAACCCACCAGCCAACTACTTTTCTTTGTGTTATAAAAATATTGTAAATTTGCATTGCAAAGAGCAACTACTAGAGAGAAACAGCCAATGTCCTATTCAAAGTCTATTTAAATTAGTGCATAGCAAAACTGAGCAAAAATAAAATGAGGATTTTTATGAAATGAAAAGGGAATAGTTCACTAAATCCCGTGTTAAATAGCTAAACAATAGAGGAAATGCCAAGTGTAGTCCTCTGGTGTTTTGAAAACATTTGTTATGATAATAATTAAAGAGTTTTGTTGTGTATAATTTTCATACAAGTCTTGTACGGCAGAAGGTTTGCTGTGGATTTTGTCCCCTTGTCATTTTTATTATTGGTGTGTCTGTTGTGCCCCAGCATCCTAGATGAGATCTCATTATTGTGTTAGAAGCTGTATAAAAATGTGTTGAGAGATGGCTCGTAGTCAAAAAAAAAAAGCAAGTCTGGAGTCTAGAACGTGGAAACAGGCACGAAGAAGTGTCTTACTGAGAGTCACACAACAGACTAGTGGAACAGACAGGTCTATCAGCCAAGTCTACTGCTTTCTAGACCAGCGGTCTTACTTGTGGGATGTTACCTCTGTGAGTTGGGTAAAATCAGCTCGGCTACACAGCTGATAAATGGACACAGACAACATTAACAAGACACTAAGAATTATGTAAGGACGGTTACAGCTTTTTTGCTGGATCTTCCCAGAGATGAACACAATACCGTCCATAAGTTTTCCTCACAGAAGTGGTAGTTTTGAAGATGATTCAAGGATTGGAGCATCTCCCTTATGAAAAAAGGCTGAGAGAGCTGGGACTCTTTAGTCTGGAGAAGAGAAGGCTGAGGGGAGACCTTATTAATGCCTATAAGTACCTAAAGGGTGGGTTGAAGGAGGAGGGAGCCAGACTCTTTTCAGTGGTTCCCAGTGAGAGGACAAGAAGAAATGGGCACAAGCTGGAACATGGGAGGTTCCACTCAAATATGAGAAAAAACTTCTTCATAGTGAGGATGCCACAGCACTGGAACAGGCTGCCCAGGGAGGGTGTGGAGTCCCCTTCTTTGGAGATTTTCAAGCCCCACCTGGATGCTCCTGAGTAACATGCTCTGACAAGCTCTGGGCAATCCTGCTTCAGCAGGGGAGTTGGACTAGATGATCTCTATGGTCCCTTCCAGCTCTAAAAAAATTCAGTGAAATTCAGTTAAATTTGAACACTGAAGTGGTGTGCATTTTGGGGAGCAACAGAGGATACCAGTGGTTTCCTGTTTACCAGCTACTTGACGACATTAACTTCTATCTTTACGCCTAGACACTCTGCCATATGAGCTCTTCAGTTTGGGTCAATAGGGCGCTTCTTAAACATGGCTATGTTGTTTGCTTAAACTTCTAACATGGCTTAAGCTTCTAAAAAGGCTATGCTCTTTTCACTTTGACCCTTGGGTAAATCTACAATGGATATCTACAATGGGTTTAAACTTGCTGGCACTCAGATAATACAAGCAGTCTACTTTATGCCAACGTGGGGCTCAACGTGCATTCGATTTATGTTTTGTAGGTGCTTTGTCTTCAAACTATTATGGTACCAAGCGTACTAGTGTGACTGTTCACAATATTCAGGTTAACTATACATAGACATGAATTCAACACAGCCATGACTTCAACATGCATTATCTGCACAGCTCTCTAGAAATACAGTATTGAGTCTGTCATATTATAAAGCTCAGAGGCTTTTTGGTCAAGGCAGTTTTCCTGTTTTTCCATGATGAAATCTGTGCATGTATACAGTATCTTGTGCTTCCAGGATGTATTCAAAACTGATAAACTTCCAAGAAAATGTATTTTTTCCTGTTTTGTCCAAGTGTCGTAATATGAAGTAATGTGTCATATTAAGTTGTTAAGCAAGTGCAAACTGTTTGACTGCTCCGCTGCATGGAGTCTTTGAATAAAACATACCATTTGTTAGGATTTAGGAGGACTTCTCACACGTCTCCATTGTGCATTCTTACCTGAAGGGTGGAGTTTTAATCCTGTGTGATGGAGACAGTCAAAGTGCTGATGGCTGCAGCCATGACCGTTTTGTTCTCCGGGAGTTGTGAGGAGTTCAGGAACAATGGTTTCTTTTTTTTTTTCAGTCTAGCTTAGCTATTGATTTAAAATATGAAACTTCTGCTAGTTATTGTCAAGCTTTAGGTGTCCAGAATAGAGGTTATTACTCCTTTCATTTTGAGAAATGAACTGAGATTTAACTGTGAGTAGTATTTAACTGGATTCTCTTCTTGCCTGAGCTGTTATTGTGATATGATCAAAAGTATGAACAGGGTAAAAAATAGTAACATAATTCTTAGCTGTACGAGATGGCCTATATTTGAACGTTGTGTAAATGACCTCGTTCTTACAAAATAAGTTTTTGCTATTTAAAAGTATGCATATTTTTGATACTTCTTTTGTCTAATACAGCTAAAGAAAATCCAGCAGCCACACAGGACAATTTCTTTCATTTTTACCTCCACCTAAGCAAATTGATGTAAATGGAGGGACCTGCTGGTGGGTGAAATTTGCATACATATTAACGATATCAGGTGCAGTTCCCAAGTGTGAGGCTAGGTGAACACAAAAAGTGTTTTTTTTTCTTTTGCAAAATCTTTCCCAGGAATAATGTAGATATTTACCATTTGAGATATGGCAGGATACATTTAGACTTGGGACCTCAGAGGAAAGAGCAAAGCAGCAACCAAATCTCTGTTCCTATAATTAAAGAAGTTTGTTTTCATACTTTTTAATTCTGGGAACATAAGCCACTTGTGCTTCCTCTGTCTATTTTTTTTTTCTTTTTTTGTACCGAATTAATAGGGAATATTGTTGTGATAGAAACATATTGATTGCAGTAAAGAACTGTATGCTACCTGCCCTGCACTCCTGAAAATGGTCAATGATACTTAACTGGTTAGAAATGTGTTCTGGGTGACACTTACTAAACAAAATCAGAGCTGTCTTTCATTGTTACAGTTTGTTCTCTACAAGGCCTTGAATGTTCATTTCTTTGACATAAGATAATGATTCATTCTCTTGCTTTGCAGTTTCTAGATGGCTAGGTACTTAGAAAGTCAATACTGAATTTCTGAGCAGAAATCCACATATGATTACAGTAAAGCTCCACTATCACAGCATTGCATTAAGAGATGTAATGGTATATTTTATATCTATAAAAATAAGAAGTTTTAATTTGATTTATCAACAGTATGTGCTGTTGACTTATGTGTGTTGACTTATGCACAACATGTGCTACTTAGATTTTATTGATGATAATTTTTAGAAGGTATAACTCTTCTGAGTCTTGATTCACCCTGCATGGAAAATGAAAAGTGAATTATTGCTGGGAAAATCACCCAAAGTCAGGGGTGACTGGATGCTTTGAAAAATAATTCCCTTTGTTCTTTATTTAAGGCTTAAAGCCAAGTGATCCAACCATGACCGGCAAAACACAGACCAGCAATGTCACCAATAAGAACGACCCAAAGTCCATCAACTCCAGAGTCTTCATCGGCAACCTGAACACAGCCATTGTCAAAAAAGGCGACATCGAAGCCATCTTTGCCAAGTATGGGAAAATAGTGGGCTGCTCAGTGCACAAGGGTTATGCCTTTGTACAGTACATGAGCGAGAGGCACGCCAGGGCTGCAGTGGCAGGAGAGAATGCCAGGATCATCGCGGGGCAGCCACTAGGTAAGGGGTTCTGCATATTATTGAAATATTGTTCTCTCTTTCCTTTCTATTTGTTATATCATCTGCTGCTGGTGCCTTGGGGAATAGTAAGTTTGCTTTGCTATTGTTCCGTCTAAGCATATTTCCAGGGTGTTGCATCTGGCAGAATTTTCAAAATATTAGGTGTTACCTAAATGTTAGAAAATGTTTAGTGCTATAAATTGCTATAAATACATCACTTCTGACTGCTTAATATTTTTCTCCGTAATCCCATTGAGGTCAACATGATTACTCGTGCCAGAGAAGGGCGACAAAGCTGGTGAGGGGTCTGGAGCACAAGTCTTATGAGGAGAGGCTGAGGGAGCTGGGGGTGTTCAGCCTGGAGAAGAGGAGGCTGAGGGGAGACCTTATTGCTCTCTACAACTCCCTGAAAGGAGGGTGTAGAGAGGTGGGGGTCGGTCTCTTCTCCCAAGTCACAGGCGACAGGACAAGAAGAAATGGCCTTAAGTTGCGCCACGGGAGGTTCAGGCTGGATATTAGGAGAAATTTTTTCCCTGAAAGGGTTCTCAGGCATTGGAATGGGCTGCCCAGGGAGGTGGTTGAGGCACCATCCCTGGAGGGGATGATGTGGTGCTGGGAAATATGGTTTAGTGATGCTGTTGCTTCTTGTTTGTTGTGCGGGTGTCTATTTTTGTCAAAATTAGGTTGAAGGTTGGACAAGATGATCTTTAAGGTCCCTTCCAACCTAGAAGATTCTGTGATTCTGTGATTCATGTGAGGAAAATAGAAGTATTTTCTCTTAGACTCTAGTTAGTAAATGTAATGTACTATTACAAGACTTGACTTGTTTTATATATGTGTGTGTGTGTGTATAAATATACATATATATATATGTGGCTTTCTTACACCTAATGAATCTAAAATAATATCCAGCCTAGTGGTGTGTCAGATTTTATACAGAACCAAAAGAATGAGTTTTATTAGTCCTTGAAATTGTACCAAATCAAACTGTAATGTTGTTATCCATTTAGAGAAGTTTATTACTGAAAACAGGTTGAAGTTATTCCCAGATAATGTTGTCGACACTGTTCATCTCAGCTCCAAATTTAAAAAGAAAAGGTGTAAATATTTTCTTTTCTAGTGCTTTGTCATGAATGCTTAATAAGATCTGGTTCTTTCTTGTAAGTGTTACCTCTGAAAGCTATTTACAATTTCATATGGATGCTGTTAATGATAAAATCATCTGGAATACAGTTTTAGCCCCATCTGTCATATATATAGTAATAGACAACACAGCAAGGTGTTTGCTAAGACCGAGCAATCTCTCACTACACCTCCGAAGTATATTGCTCAGCCTCAAAGCCATGTATTTAATGGCTATGTGAGGAAAGGGTGAAGTGTAGCTAGAGCTTTTGCCTGTAACAAGTCATAAAGAATGGATATGGTTTACCCATTTTCAATTTCTCAGGCTGTGGAAATCTGTTTTTCTGATTATTTGTAAAAATTGAGGTATTCGTGTTAGATGGGTTGTTGTTTTGTCACAGTTACTCAACAGTAATTTTAAATGTTATAACCCCTGTATTTTGGGTTCAAAAGAAAAACAGATTAAAGAAATCCAATTACATTTTAGGGGAGATTACAACTTTTTTTAGGAAAAGCTATATATATATGATTGAAATAAAAGAGCTCAAGTGATAAAGTCAAGTCAGTCTGTGGGATGGCATTATTAGAAGATATTTCCTGGAGCGGTGGTCTCCGAGCAATAGGCCCTGTAATGCCATCAGTGCATTATTTACAGCTCCTTGCACACTGCTCTGACCAGATTTTTTAAACTGTGTTTTCCTAAGGCAATAGATCTGTTATTACTATGAATACTGCTGCTAGTCTCTTTTAGTATTTATTGTGGCATCTATAATATGCCAAGTGCTTTGTAGAAGGAGATGCCCTTGTTCTACTCAGAGTACTTTTATGCTTTGTATAGAAGGTAATTGAAGTCATAAAAGAAATTAAGGGACTAATAATTACTTGAATTGTTCAAAACTTTTATTAATAACAGAAAGTTTATTCAGCACTAAGATTCAACTATATGATCTTAAAATATTTGATTATTCTGTAAAGTCTTGTGATGGCACGTTTCATGTCTTAGTTCCTGATCTATGAAGAATAGCAGGGTGAAATTTTCTTTTCGCGGTTCCAAACCTCATTTACTCTCTCTGTATATGAAATACAGTTGTCATCAGTATTGCCTGACAAGGAAAACAACTTTGTAAAAGTGGCCGTTCTGGTTAGACAAACAGCTTCTATTCATTTTTTTAATTAGTAGTAGACATTAACAGTCATCTCAAAATAGGGAGGAGCTGGTAGATAAAATTTGCTTGGCATTATGACCCAGAAAAATAACATATGTGAAAATTCTGTATTTGAATGGAAGGAAGTAACAGGCATACTCATTACAGTGAAACCACTTGATGAAAAAAGACTTTGTTCTCTGTCCTGAGAGCCTTGCATTGTGAAATAAACAGAACATATGATCTTATATCAACAGTCAAGGCGTGGAAAAGGGACAAGAAAAGCCTTTTACAGTTGTACAGGTGAACTTCGTTAGCACAGCTGAATTTTATTTTAAGTGGAATTAGAATATATCAGTAAAATAACAAGGGCTGGATAGTAATCAGTTTTGGAAAGCTGTTTGAACAAAGGAATATTTGAAAAATGTTATGCCATTGTGTATGTCCGATATTACTATACACTCTGTAGTACTCAGTACCTCACAAAAGAAGGAATAATTTAATTCAGACTGCATGATTAATCTTCTGTGGAGTCCTGCCATTCAAAATTATGATATCCTCTGCAGCAGCTTTACCTGTGAGTCAGATACTGTTTGCATGTACGTAATTGAAATTAAAAACTGAGCTTGTAAACTCCTGTAGCTGTATACAGTGCTGCATAAACTGAAGATACCGCTGCAGTTCCCATCCAGTTGTAGGCAATAGAATTGCATTAATGGTGTGCAATAGAGTCCTGTCTAAATATTTCTTCTGAAGTGGAGTCCCAAAGTGTTAAGCTCCGTAGGTACCTAACAAGACATTTTGTTTAACGGATTCCTCAGAAGTACAAATCTAAAGCATTGGTAGTGCCTTCTGTCTTGCCAGCTTCCTGGGGGTCATTATAATTGGCCTGCTGGTCTCCTCGAACAACTCTCAAGCTCCTACTAACGTGTTCGGTGGTTGGTCATGTGTAAGGGACATGCCATGTATATTGGAACTTCAGGGAAGTGGATTCCATGATCTGTGTGGTTATTTCCAAGTGTTCTGTTTCATGAAGTGCAACATGATCTAAAAAGCTGTGGGGAAGAGATTATAAAGGAACACAAAAAAAAGGTGCTTAAAAAATTTATTGGTATTATTGTGAAGTTCAGTGTAGTTTCTCAAAGTGGTATTATATCTTCATGGGAACAACATGTTTTCCTGGCCCACAGCAGGGCAGGGACAGGTGAATAGTGGGCATGGGAATCTGCTTCATGGTGATTATTTTGGAATTACTTCAGGCTGGAGTCAAGAAAACGTTCAAGTTACTCTATGACAAAACTGCAAGTCACATTCCCAGTTGTGGGAACACTCACATCATCCCTTCTGCTCTATCACCTCCAAATGTTTTCATCCATTTAAATACATCTATGACTTAGAGAACATTTGCCCACATTCACCTCCTTGCCAGATATGGCAAAGAGACAGGGTGCATAGGAATTATTCTGAGGAAATAACCGAGTCTCCCCATGAGCTTTACCATAGGTGATTTCACCCCTCTATGGTGAGAAGAGGACTAGGGACCTGCTTGCTCCAAAGCAAATGGTGGCAAGTCCCTCATTGCAGCTGTGGGCTGAGGAGAGAGCTGCAGCAAGAATGAAACTTTGGGGTACACGATGGAGAATACAGCTCTTCATCTGATATTTTCTCCTGTCTTTTTAGTTCTTCAGAAGGGTCATAGCAAAGTTATTTAACTTTTTTATCCATTCCAACACACATGAATTCTGTGAAGCCAAACACCATGTAAGGGCATTAAATGTTCCATAACTTTATATTATATAGTTATAGTTATATATAGTTATATAAAGTTCTATAACTTTATATTATTGAGGCCCCATCCCTGGAGATATTCAAGGTGAGGCTCGACGAGGCCCTGGGCAACCTGGTCTAGTTGGGGGTGTCCCTGCTGACTGTGGGGGGGTCAGACTAGATGACCTTTGGAGGTCCCTTCCAGACTGGACAATTCTGTGATTCTATGATTCTATGATATTATATATGCCTGTTTACCTTATGCATTTGGCAAATATTAATAACAGCTTACATCAAAATTCTGGTACAGTTATTATAGCACTTCTACATCATAATGACCCTTTGATTTGCTTGGTTTATAGTTCATAGCCTCATATGTTTTAATTTATTACCTTTTTTTTTTCCTCTTGTGTGCACATTTTCAAACCAGCGTAATTCCTTTAACCTCAGAATATGTTTTTATTTGCACCAGAATAAGAGTAAAGACACCTCACAGGCACCTTGAGAAAACAAGTTAAGTGTTGCAAGGCTAGTACTTTTGGGCTCTTCCTATCACTTAAGACACCATGGAATTTCATTCTTGGATGCTGAGAAAAAGGAAAAGATTACATTACCAAGAGTATGAAAGACACTGTAGTTCCTCAGTTGATGCCCTTTTTAACTAATATATTAGTTCCACTGTAGCTTCAATCCTGTTTCTTGCTGTAAATATTGTTCACGTTTGTCTGCCTTTGGGTCTAAATTAGATGCAGTCTCTGAGTACCAAGTGAGTGCATATTGACATGTAGCCTAAGGTAAGATGGTGGTTGCAGATAATTATTTTGGGTGACATATTCTATTGCACATCCTTTTGAGAAGCACAGAAGCCCTGCAGGGGATTTCTAAATGATGACTACCCAGTAGAAAACATCCGAGGAGAAGAGCAGGTAATAAAGAGAGCCGTAAGAGAGACTTAACATATACCTT